AGTTCTACCTAGGTTGCCCTTTCTGTTAATCTGCGTGTGTTCTGTTGTGCATAGGGTTTTCAGAGGCCTGCTATTTCAGAAGTGGGTGGCTAAAATCAAACAACAGTAAGATATCATCTCATTCCAGCAACAATAGAAATATTTAACACCCCAGCAAACTACAAATGCCCATGAAGATAAGGAGAATTGGAGCTCTTACACACTTTTGTTACCACTATGGAAGGCAGGATGGTGCTTTTTCAAAAAGTTTAAAAATAGAAATAACATTTGACCTAGCTATGCCACTGCTCAGAATATATCTTAAAGAAATCATAGCTGTGACTCAAACATGTTTATTGCCCAAGTTTATTGAAGCATTATTAACAATAGCAAAGAGATGGACGCAACCTAAGTGTCCATTAACAAATTAATGACTAGAAAAACTTGTTTGTCCACACAATGACAAATTACACAGCACTGAAAAACAATGAACTTGCAAAACACTACACAACATGGATGGATCTGGATTATGCTGACTGAAATATCTCAGTCACAAAAGGAAAAATATTGCATAAGACCACTGTTAGAGCATTAGTAATGCAAAGGGGAGAGTAGGAAAAGAGTGTATAGATAATGAACATGGAACTGGAATCGGTAAGAGGAAAGACAATCTGAAAGGAATGGATAATTAATATTTTGTGTATATCAATTAACCACCTAGAACCAGTCAAGCACTACAATATCAATTCTGGGAAGAGGAGGGAGGAAAACATATATGGATGAAGGAATGAAAAGCACTCTCTTTGTGATTTTTTACTAAAATAAAATAAAAAAATTAAAGAAAAAGCAGAGAAGTTAGATGTAGCAGAAGATAACATTTTATAGGTTTTTTTCCTAGCAATATTTTTACTTCCTCTCTAGAAATTATTCTTCATAAGGGACATTGTTCAAATCCACCAGCTGCTCTGTAGAAGAAGGATGGGCAATCTCCTCTAGTGTGATTTACTACCTCTTAAAACTCACTGGAGGGTCAGCTATGAATCGGTTCTCACTTGGCAACACACAGCTGCAACAACAAACTGTTCAAGAATCACTTTTAACCAATTTGCACATTACTCTTTCTTTTACATAGGGACTAGTAGGTAGCATTGGCCCTCCAGGATTTCCTGGACTTAGAGTGAGTATCATAAATATTATTCTTATAAAATACTGATTTGTTTTATGTATCTGATACCTGTGTTTTAAAACTGTAGACAAAGGAGGGATTTTTTTGGGTGTTATTATTGAACATTAACCTTGCTTAAATATACTTTTCAATCAAATTTGTAAATTAGACCAGTATCACAGGTTAAGAAGTTAATTAGAAGCTTATAAACTCCAATATATTGTTAATTTTTACTTCTCATTTTTACACAGCCCTTTCTTATATATTCATTGTTTGGTATTTCCTAAATTAAGCTATATATTATATATACAAAGCACGTTCATCTGAGACGTCAGATTGTGCACAATGATACGTTTACTGAAACAAAAGCCAAGAATATTTTATCTATGAGAAAAACAACACAAAGTATTTGTTTATGTGTAGGATATTTTTTTCATACTTACACAGTCTATTACAATATAGTTTTCAAACAGACATATTGCCTGTATTTCTTAGTTCACCATTAGTTTCAGCTCTATGAACTTTGAAGTGAATTGAACTTTGGATAAACTGGCTGCTATAATCATAAGAAAAATTGTTTCCTATTGAAGAATTGAGAACCACAAGCAGTGATGTATTAATATTACATATCTTCTTATTAATTTGGAAAGTATTACCCTTGGCCTCTCATGCTATTTCACGATTAAACATGTTGGAAATAATTTATCTTCCTTATATTTCATAGACTTTAGAACTCACTTAGAAGTAAAGATGTCATATATTCCATTTTGAAATTTGTATTATATAAATGTAGATTATTAGAAATACTCACCTGTGTTGGGAAATGATGTTCTGGAGACCAATCTTCTAAATCTATTTTTTAAATAAAGTTGATTCCTTTTGTAAGTACTCAGTCTGTACTTCTTTAGTTCAAAATTATTATATTTCAGTTTTTATAGGAAGTTTTAGACCTTTTCAAAAAGTAATAAAACATGATTTGATTTTACAGACTATACACACAAAAGTAATACTTTAGCAGTGTTAACAATATAGCTTTTGAAATTCCTTAACATTTTGAAATCACAAATGGGAAAGTAGACCCAGCATGATCTCAAGAGGGGAAGATGCCATATCGAAGGAATTGCTTTAAATCTCATGCTTTCAAGAGTGTAAATTGTATTCTGGGAGAATTGAACTGAGAAACTTGAACGTAATCACTGTTTTTTGTCTTTATTCCTCAATTCTACTCTAGTATCTGATATATATTATATTTAATAAATGTTAAATGATGAATGAGAAATGTCTAAAGTAGATTTCTTTTTTCCTACTATCAAATTTGTATATAATAAAGTTTTGTTCATCCTAAAAATTTTAGATCATGAAATAAAATTATTAGAATGCCTAAGATCAAGAGTAGTATGCACTTCTTAAACAACATGCTTCTGGAAACTATGAACTTTGAGAAATGATGATAGCTAGTAAAAGGCTGCAGGCCTTTCGTTCATAGGGTCACATGAGTAATCCTCGACTCGATGGCAATCAACAACAACACATAGTAATTTTTCTACAAATATTTGCTTTCTAGAAAGATGATAAAAATCTAAAGAAACAAAGCGTAATGATTATGAAATACTTCCTGGGTACATGACATTGTGATATATTCCCTATTTTTGAGATGCTATAAAGTTGTAGGGAAAAAAATGTTATTTGAGTGTCATGAATATTATTAGAAAAATCTAAAGGAAGAAAAGGGATTTGTAAACTAGACGAGTATGAAAAAAGCTTTGAAGAATAAGATGAACTTTGGGGAAGTTTGAAAATTGGTATCACATATGAATGTAAAGAGGAAGAAAAATATTGAAGAACAACATGCACGATGGGGTTTATGGAGATTATTCCCTGGACAGATTAATAAATTAATTTAATAATCACATTGATTTTCAATCCTGGTGAATACTTAATGCATCTTTCTTAATTGCTGCTTTTCAGGGAAGTGTTGGCCTTGTGGGACCAGTTGGACCTTCTGGGATTCCTGGACCAATGGTAAGGTTTTTATTTGCACAATAGATATCTACTTTTAATTTCTCTCTGATACTACAAAATATTACTTTTCTTTTTAGGGTCTCTCAGGGAATAAGGGACTAACTGGAATCAAAGGTGATAAGGTGATTTAAATGCTTACATTATCATAGAAATAATTTCTTGTCAAATTTAAGTCAATACAATTTATATGTTTTTATTTACTGTATCAAATGTATACTATTTATATATTGACTTTTCTCAAAAGTAGGGTAATGAAATCCATTATTGTTTAACAATCATTACTTAAATAATTGCAGTGCAATAAGTATCTTTGTATGAAATTATGCTTTTTAGGGTGAACAAGGTATTGCAGGAGAGGCAGGAGAAACAGGGTATCCTGGCGACAAGGTACTTTCTATACCATTTATTTCATATAAATATAAAAATGTTCTTCCATTAAAATATGTAAATTCTCTCAAAAGAATACTCATTTTTTAATCATGAATTTGTCAAAATGTTATCAATACTTTCCATATCTTATTTGGAACAGCTTTATTAAAACTTAAAACATGACCTTTTTTTGTTAGCTTCTAAGTAAGACTTGCATAATATAGTAGTTTTTTCTTCCTCTACTTTTCTCTTCTTTCAGGGAGCTGTCGGTTTGCCAGGACCTCCGGGAATGAGAGGAAAGCCAGGACCTTCAGTAAGTTTAACTTTGTGTTTGTGCTTCTGCTTGACTGAGGACATGCTATAGCATGACTCTTAGTGGTTGCTGGTGTTCATGGAAATATAAACTCACGAGTTTTAACTTTTTTTTTCCAGTTTTAGAGCCCAAGTTATCCCTCAAATATTCTGTTCCTATTGAAATTACTGGAACTAATCTACCAAAATCTCTCTCTTCCAGTCTTTGAGGCTGGGTTTAGAAGGGGTCATGGTACTAGGGATATTGTAACTAATGTTAGATGGATCTTAGCTGAAAGCAGAGAATACCAGAGGAATATATAGTCAATGTATAGCCATTGACTATACAAAGGCATTTGACTGGGTGGATCATAATAAACTGTGGCTGACTCTGAGAAGAATTGGAATCCCAGAACACTTGATCATGCTAATGCAAAACCTATACTTGGACCAGGAGGCAGTCGTCAGAACAGAGAAAGGGAACACTGCATGGTTAAAAATTGGGAAGGGCGTAAGCCAGGGATGCATCCTATCTCCACACCTTTTCAAACTATACGCAGAACATATTATCTGGGAGGCTGGGCTCTATGAGGAGAAATGTGGGGTCAAGATTGGGGGACGATTTATCAACAATCTGTGTTATGCGGATGACACAACCCTGCTTGCTGAAACTGAAGAGGACCTGAAACACCTGCTGCAGAGTGTCAAGGGCTGCAGCCTACAATATGGATTGAGGCTCAATGTCAAGAAGACAAAGATTCTCACCACTGGACCAATTGGCAGCATCAGGATGGATGGTGAAGAGATTGAGATTGTATACAGCTTTAGTTTGCTTGGCTCCACAGTCAATACTCTTGGCACCAGCAGCCAGGAAATTAAAAGGAGCATTGCCATGGGGAAAGTCTGCTGTTAGGGACCTCTCCAAAGTACTGAAGAGCAGTGGTGTCTTTCTGGAGCCTAAGGTGCATCTGATACAGGCCATGGTCTTCGCAATCACCTGTTATGCATCAGAGAGTTGGACAATGACCATGGAGGATAGAAGGAGAATTGTTGCCTTTGAGCTGTGGTGCTGGAGAAGAGTATTGAGAATACCATGAACTGCTAGTAAAACAAACAGATTTATCCTGGAAAGGGTTAAACCGGCAAGGATTCTGAGGCTCTGTCTAACATACTTTGGGCATGTTGTGAGGAGAGACTGGTCCTTAGAGAAGGACATCATGCTTAGGAGGGTGGAGGGACAGCGCAGGAGGGGAAGGCCCTCTATGAGGTGGATTGATTCAGTGGCTGGGATAATCGGGATGGTAGTGTCAGAGACAGTGTGATTGGTACAGGACAGAGCAGAGTTTAGGGCTGTTGTACATAGGGTCACTATGAGTCGCAAGCGATTCAACACCACATAATAACAGCAACAACAATCTACCAAGCCTATTATGGCAAGCTAAAGTCAAGTGTGTTAGAATTCTAAAGAAACTAGACTATACCCATCCCATGGCTTATTTACTATAAACAGTATACAGTCTATATATTTTTAAGATAGAATATAGAAAGAACCTTAAATAGCATTTTAATTTTGTAACAAATATCTTTTCTCTTAAGGAAACATTCTTAAGCAAAGAGCATATAACATTCTTTTTTTAAATTTTTTTAAATTGTATTATTTTTACGTGTACAGTCAAATCAGATCTCACTGGTACAGGAGGAGATTTCCCCCTCCTTCTCCAGCAGAGCATCTGGTGGGAGCATATAACATTCTTATGTTGTTGGTGTCAGATGCCACTGAATCTACTATGACTCCCAGCAACCTTATGAACAACAGATATGAATTTTTTCCCCTGTCTGGTACCATCTTAACAATTTCTGATGTGTGATTTCCCTTTCTGTAGTCACTGTGTCAGTTCATCTGATTGAGGCTCTTCCTCTCTTTCACTTTCCCTCCAACTTTCCAAAAATGAAATCCCTTTCCAAGGAATTGTCTTTTCTAGCAGCATGCCCAAAGTATGTGAGATGAAGCTTTACCACGTTAGCTTCCAAAGAGCACACTAGGTGCATTTTCTCCAAGACATCTCTGTTTGTTCTTTAGGCAGTCTTTGGAATTTTGAGTACTCTTCTCCAACACCACAGTTTGAAGGTTAAGTCATGGCAGTGCCATGATAGAATGGAGAAGAGATTGAGGTTGTTAACAATTACAGCTTGCTTAGCTCTACAATCAAAACTCTTGGCACCAGCAGTTAGAAAATCAAAAGATGAATTGCATTGAGAAAGTCTGTTCTCATTGACCTCTCCAGAATACAGAGAAGCAACGATGTCAGTCTAGAAACTAAGGCGTGTGCCTGATCCAGGCCATGGTCTTTGCAATTATTTGCTGTGCGTCAGAGAGCTCAACAATAACTAAGGATGATATAAAAAGAATTGATGCATTGAGTTGTGGTGCTGGAGAAGAGTCTTGAACATATGGACCACCAAGAAAACAAATAGGTCTATCTTAGAGAGGGTGAAATTAAGTTTCTACTTGGAGACTAGAATTCTGAAGCTCTGTCTCACTTGCTTTGGGCACGTGGTCAAGAAGGACCAGTCCTTGAAGAAGGACATCATACTTGGAAGGGTGGAGGGACAGTGCAGGAGAGGAAGACCCCAGAGAAGATGGATTGATACAGTAATAGAGTGAGGTGTGTTGGAGTCAGGGAGACTGGGTTAGAATAGAAAAGGTTCCATAGCTATTGAATGATGAATGTTGTGCCGTCAAGTCACCTGCGACTCATAGCGACACTAGTGCTACGGTTGTGAACCCTTCTCTATCCTGAGCCAACCTTATTGTCTCTGACAAACCTTCCCTCATTACCCTTGTAACTGAATCAATACATCTCACTGAGAGTCTTCTTCTCTTATGCTGTACCTTCCACTCTATCTAGGACAAACCTGTTTGTTCTCTTAGCAGTCCATGGTATGTTCAATACTCTTCTCCTACACCACAGCTCAAAGACATCAATTCTCCTTCTATCATCCCTCGTCATTGCAAACACCATGGCCTGTATCAGGTTCACCTTATTCTCTAGACTGACACTGTTGCTCTTCAGCTCTCTGGATAAGTCCCTGAAAGCACACTTTCCCAATGCAATTTGTCTCTTGATTTCCTGGCTTCTGGTACCAAAAGTGTTGATTGTGGAGCCAGGCAAACTGAAAGTATTAACTATCTCAATCTCCTCACATCTATCATGATTCTGCTAATTGGCTCAGTAGTGAGAATCTTTGTTTTCTTGATGTTGAGCTTCAATCCATTTTGAAGGCTGCAGTCCTTGATCTTCTGACCTTTTGTAGTAAATGCTTCAGGTCCTTCTCAGTTTCAGCATGCAAGATTGGGTTATCTGTGTAACAGTTTGTTGATGAGTCTTCCTTTAATCCTGTTGCCACATTCCTCCTCATAGATCCCAGCCTCCCGGATGACCTGTTATGCATATAGATTGAAATGGTATGGTGATAGGACGTATTCCTGGCATACTCCTTTCTTGATTTTGAACCATGTAGTGTTTTCTTGCTCTATTCTGACAACTGCCTTCTGGTCCAAGTTTAGGTTTTGCATAAGCACAATCAAGTGTTCTGGGATTCCCATTCTTCTCAGAGTTATACACTTAATCCTCAGAACAATACTATGAAGTTGATAAAACTATTATCCTTGTTGTGTAGTTTAAGGGAACTAAATAATTTGCCCAAGGTCCCATAGTTAACAAGTGTCCTTATTAGGAGTCCAGATAACTAGGTATATTAGCATCCTCACCACTGTAACATTCTGCTTTAAGATTTTTATGCTGATTACAACTCTATGAAGGTTAAAATAATTATTGTTTCAATGTGGCATAAAGTAGACTCGACTCATAGCAACTCTGTGAACAACAGATCAAAATCTTGCCCTTTCTTGAACCATCCTTACAGTTCCTAACATACCTGAGCCCATTGTTACAGTCACTGTGTAAGTCCATTTTGTTAAAGATATTCCTCTCTTTCTCTGACCCTCTACCCTTCCCAGCATGAGATGAAGTTTTACCATTCTTGCCTTTAAATGAGCATTTGTTTGTTTTTCTGTCAGTCCATGGTATAGTCAATACACTTTGCCAACACCACAAGGCAAAGTTATCAGTTCTTTCTTGGCCTCCCTTATTCATTGTCCAACTTTCAGATGCACTTGAAGTAACTGGAAAAAACCATAGTTTGGATCAGGTGCACCTGAGTCTTTAAACTGACAGCTTTGCTCTTTATTAGTATGTTTGCGAGGTCCTTGACAGCAGATCTTCTCAGTGTAACACATGTTTGATTTCTTGACTGCTGCTACCTTGACTGCTGATTGTGGATCCAAGTAAAATGAAATTCTGGACAACTTGATTATTTTACCCATGAGCTCCGGTGGCCTAGTGGCAAGAATCTGTGCTGCAATCCTGAACACATGCAGTTCAAATCCACCAACTGCTCCATGGGATAAGGATTGGCAGTCTCCTTCTGTGCAATTAACTGCCTCTGAAAACCCACTGGAGGGTCAGCTATGTGTTGGTTCTGACTTAATGGTACACAACAGCAACAACAATTATTATAATTCATAGCTGTGAGGGGTTTTGTCTTTTTAATGTTGAGATGTGACTCATATTGAAGACTACAGTTTTTCATCTTCTACAGTAAGTGCTTCAAGTCTTTTTCACTTTCTGGAAGTAAGGTTGAATCATCTGCATAAAGCAAGTTCCTAATCTTCTTCCAATCCTGATACTGCATTCTTCATATATTCCAACTTCTCTAATTAATTGCTCAGTATGGAAATAGAATAGATATGGAAAGATGATACAATTCTAACACACACCTTTCCTAATTAAACTATGCAGTGCTCTCTTGTTTTATTCATCTGCTTCTTGGTCAATGTATAGGTTTCCCAGGAGCACAACTGACTGGTCTGGAACTCATAATTTATTGGAATGTACGTATATAGGAATGTTATTTTCCTGAGCAATTAATAGTGTTCTCTTTAACTCCAGCCTTTCATTT